AAACCTCAATATTGTAACATTTATCTGTGAGGTTTGAACAATACTTTGTATCAACTTAATTCATGGTCCATTTTATGTGCGAGGTTTGAACAATACTTTTTATCAACTTAATTCATGGTCCATTTTATCTGTGAGGTTTGAACAATACTTTTTATCAACTTAATTCATGGTCCATTTTATGTGTGAGGTTTGAACAATACTTTTTATCAACTTAATTCATGGTCCATTTTATGTGTGAGGTTTGAACAATACTTTTTATCAACTTAATTCATGGTCCATTTTATGTGTGAGGTTTGAACAATACATTTTATCAACTTAATTCATGGTCCATTTTATCTGTGAGGTTTGAACAATACTTTGTATCAACTTAATGCATGGTTCATTTTATGTGTGAGGTTTGAACAATACTTTGTATCAACTTAATTCATGGTCCATTTTATCTGTGAGGTTTGAACAATACTTTGTATCAAATTAATTCATGGTCCATTTTATGTGTGACACAGTTCCCTGTATCAACATTCCATATATGTACTTGTACACATTTGTTGAGAGGTCTAAACAAGACTTTGTATCAAATTTTGTTCTATATACATGCATACCTTTACATATGTCAGGTCTATAAACAGTTACTTGTATCAGCCTTAAATATGGGCCATTTGTCTGTTAGGTATCAACAATACTAAGTACAACCTTCACTATGGGTCAGTTTGTTTGTCAGATCTACATTGTAACTTGTATCAACCTTGTATCAACCTTCAGCATTTCTCATATTATATCCACCAGTGTAACATTCATCGAACAATTTGTAACTGTTGTTGATAATATATTCCCCAAAAATGTATTTTACAAAAGTTAGAAGGGTGTTGTTTCTTCAACAGCAAAACCTCTATTTCTACAGTACAAAATATCATACATTTCTAATGAAAATTTACAATGACAGAACCCCCCCCCTCCCCCACTAGAAAAAAAGTAACTAAAAAGAAATACTAGATCACTTACTTCATTTGGTTAATCCACTTATTTTTCCTTTTTCGTTCATACCATCGATAGAATATACTCATGTCATAATAATAGTTATTTTTGTGCATGTTATTCAGCAAACATGATGTTAAAGACGGATCTTCAAAATGATCTGATGGGTAGGCTGATCCATCAGGGACCCCTCGGTCACTCTGGCCTATCATATTGCTTTAAACAAACTCTCTAATTACCAAATTGTTTTATCAACAGAAAGTTGGAAAACTGTTTTTTGCAGTTACACAATTCACAAGTTTGAATGTAATCTCTAATTAACAAAACAGTAATTAAAAACAAACACCAATTGTCCTTGGTGTTGCAAGATTTAAAATGATATCCGAATTATAATTGAGTTTCTTTTGTCAGGAATTGCAGTTTATTGTCTGTGTGTATAAAACAGCAGATCAACATGAAATGATAACATTCCTTCCACGTAAACTTATACAGATTGATTTCTCATTTCACAAACGATGAAAAAACGATTTTTTTCATCCACATTATTAATAAAGGCAATCCTTAGATTTGTATGATGGTTTCTAGTTTCAGAATATTATATATTTTTCCTGTTTGCTTGGCTTTGATCAGCAGAATTCTTGTTTGTTCTATTTACAACTTCCAGGTAAATCCCCAATTAATATTTACCAAGTATCAGAAAACTAATAAGGTCTGTTTTCTAATTAAAATGTCATTTAAAGTCAAGACTCTTCCAACTAATTAATGTCCAATAATGTATACAATTTTTTTTTTTAAATCACGATATTTTGTTGATGGTTTTTTAAAAACACAAAACTACAATATATCAACGATAGATTTAACCACACATGCCATAGTACACATGGGTAAACACATAATTCACATTCTTCATTTATTGAAATGTGACGTTTACTGTTCACTGACAATTTAACCTGGTCACAGGTAAACACTTATCCCCTCGCTCGTCACTGACTCATTTGTCTTTGATGTGGTATATCTCAGGTGTTATAATAAGTTATAATGTCAATTTAGTTATGTTCTGTTATTTCATTATCTGACCAATCATATCTGCTTAATTCACTTTTAATGTATTTTTCAGCAGCATTAGAAGTTTTACAGTAAAACCCAATCCTTAAAAGATAGGGTATGCCATAGAGTTTAATCCTAATTATTCAACACAGACAGGTACAACAGTAGAGATAAAATTGTCTCCGATATGTATTAAGTTCTAAGCAATTATAACTATGAATGGGACTCATTAATTATCAATTAAAGAATTAAATTTCCATTATACAGAGTATCCCTGAGGGCCATTAGTAATGATTAGTTCCTATTGTCAACAGATTCTATAATTGGTCCAAAATATTTCTTCATGTTTGGCTAGAATTCCACTGGAATTAATTGTCCAGACATGATGAAAATATAATGATAATAAGATGTTTTATTCACAAATAAGGCCCCACAAGGGACATACAAACACAGTAATATGATTGTAACAAACATTTACATAACTATCTAGTATATTGTGTAACAATTAGCCAAATATTAAAAGTGGATGTTCAGTGCACAATATTTTATAATATAAATGTCCAAGTTTTACATGTTTATAATTATCAAAGAAAAGAGTGAGGCCAACACTTTCTATACTTATAGTTTTCAATCTAGTTTGAGATATAAGAGTTTTAAATTTAACACAAAGAACCAACTATTTCTCAATATAATAGCAACATAAACTATTTTCAAACAAGTTAAACTGTGAAAAATAGCTCACTTATGATACCCTCTCTGTAAGTATTCTATAAACAGGAAGTTGATGGGTGATGGGATGTAAAAACACAGTTCAGGGTGAAGCAATGCACATTCAAAGCTTGATACCAAATTTCAGGAAGCTCTGATTCATACTTATTATAGTTCCTGAGACAAAAATTAAATGGGACGGATAGACTTAAACCACAGTATTCTATACCCTCCTTCTTTAGAATAGGGTTGATGATATGAAATTAAGAAATATATGCAGTGTGTATCTGAATAACATATATTTCTATTCTAATACCTGTGAGATTTTTATTCACACTAATTCAGCATGTACCCCCTCCTGTCAAATCATGTAACAATATTTATATTAGTTTATAACATCACAGCAAAACTTCCGACTCAAATAAAACATCATAAGCTACGACTCAAATAAAACATCATAAGCTACGTGAAATCCACATAAATCATATCATTATTATGCAATTTATGAACATGTACATGAAATATTACACAGTTCATAAATAATCAACAATTTCAGTAGAAATAATCAAGATTTTATGCAAATGACAAACAATAAGTACAAAGGTATAATTTTTGTAACATAAGGAATAGCTATAAAGATTGATTTTAGATCAAATTTCTACAAACTTTGTAACTTCTGCAGGTAAACTTATGTTGCACAATTGATTTGTAATTTGCATGTTTTCAAAGTAAAGGTAATAAGCCTGACAGAAAATTGTTTGATCCTACAAAATACATGACTAACAGTTAAAGCAAAAACTTCATTACAGCTTGTATACAAAGAAAAACCTTCAGCAATGAAAGTCATAACATGAAAATAGTTTCCTATTTTTTCCTTTTGACTCAACCAATCGTGAATAATGAAGGGTGTGAATTAATATAATTTTTTCCCTTTCACTGTTTTGAGTTTTTGTCTGTACATTTATTTTCTCAGAGGAGTTTGTGGTAGGTGAATTTGACAGGAAAACTGGCAATCCTAAGAGTCAATAAAGATGGTATTCAACTGCACCTTGTGACAAGTTAGGTTTCACTCACAACAGCAGTGTTGGCAGTCAACTGCTGTTGTGAGTGAAACCTAACTTGTCACAAGGTTCATTTGAATACCATCTTTATTGACTCTTAGGATTGCCAGTTTTCCTGTCAAATTGATTGATTAATCACCAGCCACCAAAGACAACTGGCTGCAAGTGGCATTTATAAAAACTAATAATCAATCACATAACAAGTTTTGAAAAACTTTTATACAAACAAAGATGTATTCCAACCTGTATGGCCTTTACTTTAAGAGATTCATACATGAATTACAGCAACAAAACATTTCTCTGCTCGACAAATGCTTCAATATACTAAACAGAGAATATTCTGTGCTTTTGAAGTACAAAATGAGAAGTAAAGAAAGCTTTCAAAAAGGGCATTAATTCCCCATTTTATGTTTGGACAAGACTACAATAAACAAACATTGTCTTTGTAGCCTACATAATCATTATAGTCAGATCTATTATTTCCCCATTTTATGCTTACTTTATAATGTTGATCTTGCCTTGAAATCATGTTAATACCAGCTGTTAATAGAACTAAGTTAATTAACAATTATACCAACAAAAACATTCTTTCTTTGAAAGACACAATAACTGTTAGAGTGATTCTCTAATCTGTTATATAATGTATTTCTTCAAATTTTCATCTCCTTCTGAGTTTACATCTTTCTGTTTTGTGCTCAAGGAAGATGTGGTATGATAATGCCAGAGTGAGTTAGACAAATGTCCATCAAAGATCAAAGATGTAAACTATTACAGGTTACCAGATATAGATATAAGAAGATGTGGTATGAGTGCCAATGAGACAGCTCTCCATCCAAGTCACAATTTGTAAAAGTAAACCATTATGACCTTCATCAATGAGCAAAAGTCATACTGTATTGTAAATATCAAAGGCCCTCAGATGACAAAATGTAAAACAAATCAAAAAGAAAACCCCAAACACAATTTTGACAGGCAGTAATCAATTAACTACAAGGCTCTTGGCATACATACAGTTCAATATCTTCAGTACAGTGAATTGGAAATGTAAAGATATTATATAATAAAATGCTTCGCTGGGCGCAGCTTGATACGACCGCAGAGGTCGAACCCTGAACAGTTGGGGCAAGTATGGACACAACATTCAAGCTTGATACAGCTCTGAATTTAGATTGTGATTAAATATTTGACACAGCATAGGTTTCTGACACAGAAAGAATGTGGTCTAAGAACTTCAATTTTTTTAATTTACCTATTATGGTCCAATGTCCAAAATCAAAATACATGGTTAGATTCAGCATATCAAAGAACCCCATATATTCAATTTTTGTTGAAATCAAACAAAGTTTAATTTTGGACCCCAACTTGGACAAACTTGAAAACTAGTCCCATAATCAAAAATCTAAACACATGTTTAGATTCAGCATATCAAAGTACCCCAAGAATTCAATTTTTGTTAAAATCAAACTAAGTTTAATTTTGGACCCTTTGGACCTTAATGTAGACAAATTTAAAAAACGGGACCTAAAATTAAAAATCTAAAAACACTGTTAGATTTGGCATATCAAAGAACCCCAATAATTCAATTTTTGATGGGTGCAGGAATTTCTCGCTGCATTGAAGACCTGTTGGTGACCTTCTGCTGTTGTCTGTTCTATGGTCCGGTTGTTGTCTCTTTGACACATTCCCCATTTCCATTCTCAATTTTAAAGTTTAATTTTGGACCCTTTTGACCTCAATATGAACCAATTTGATAGCGGGCCCACAAAATAAAAAATCTAAATACATGGTAAGATTCAGCATATCAAAGAACCCCATATATTCAATTTTTGTTGAAATCAAACAAAGTTTAATTTTGGACCCCAATTTGGACCAACTTGAAAACTGGGCCAAAAATCTAAAATCTAAATACATGTTTAGATTCAGCATATCAAAGAACCCCATATATTCAATTTTTGTTGAAATCAAACAAAGTTTAATTTTGGACCCCAACTTGGACAAACTTGAAAACTGGTCCCATAATCAAAAATCTAAACACATGTTTAGATTCAGCATATCAAAAAACCCCAAAAATTCAATTTTTGTTAAAATCAAACTAAGTTTAATTTTGGACCCTTTGGACCTTAATGTAGACCAATTGAAAAAAAACGGGACCCAAAATTAAAAATCTAAATGCACGGTTAGATTTGGCATATCAAAGAACCCCAATAATTAAATTTTTGATGAAATCAAACAAAGTTTAATTTTGGACCCTTTTGACCTCAATATGAACCAATTTGATAGCGGGCCCACAAATAAAAAATCTAAATACATGGTTAGATTCAGCATATCAAAGAACCCCATATATTCAATTTTTGTTGAAATCAAACAAAGTTTAATTTTGGACCCCAATTTGGACCAACTTGAAAACTGGGCCAAAAATCTAAAATCTAAATACATGTTTAGATTCAGCATATCAAAGAACCCCATATATTCAATTTTTGTTGAAATCAAACAAAGTTTAATTTTGGACCCCAACTTGGACCAACTTGAAAACTGGGCCCATAATCAAAAATCTAAACACATGTTTAGATTCAGCATATCAAAGAACCCCAAGAATTCAATTTTTGTTAAAATCAAACTAAGTTTAATTTGGACCCTTTGGACCTTAATGTAGACCAATTTAAAAACGGGACCCAAAATTAAAAATCTAAATACACGGTTAGATTTGGCATATCAAAGAACCCCAATAATTAAATTTTTGATGAAATCAAACAAAGTTTAATTTTGGACCCTTTTGACCTCAATATGAACCAATTTGATAGCGGGCCCACAAATAAAAAATCTAAATACATGGTTAGATTCAGCATATCAAAGAACCCCATATATTCAATTTTTGTTGAAATCAAACAAAGTTTAATTTTGGACCCCAATTTGGACCAACTTGAAAACTGGGCCAAAAATCTAAAATCTAAATACATGTTTAGATTCAGCATATCAAAGAACCCCATATATTCAATTTTTGTTGAAATCAAACAAAGTTTAATTTTGGACCCCAACTTGGACCAACTTGAAAACTGGGCCCATAATCAAAAATCTAAACACATGTTTAGATTCAGCATATCAAAGAACCCCAAGAATTCAATTTTTGTTAAAATCAAACTAAGTTTAATTTGGACCCTTTGGACCTTAATGTAGACCAATTTAAAAACGGGACCCAAAATTAAAAATCTAAATACACGGTTAGATTTGGCATATCAAAGAACCCCAATAATTCAATTTTTGATGAAATCAAACAAAGTTTAATTTTGGACCCTTTTGACCTCAATATGAACCAATTTGATAGCGGGTCCACAAATAAAAAATCTAAATACATGGTTAGATTCAGCATATCAAAGAACCCCAAGAATTCAATTTTTGATGAAATCAAACAAAGTTTAATTTTGGACCCTTTTGACCTCAATGTGGACAAAGTTGATAACGGGGCCCAAAAATCAAAAATCTAAATACATGGTTAGATTCAGCATGTCAAAGAACCCCATATATTCAATTTTTGTTGAAATCAAACAAAGTTTAATTTTGGACCCCGATTTGGACCAACTTGAAAACTGGGCCCATAATCAAAAATCTAAATACATGTTTAGATTCAGCATATCAAAGAACCCTAAAAATTCAATTTTTGTTAAAATCAAACTCAGTTTAATTTTGGACCCTTTTGACCTTAATGTAGACCAATTTGAAAACGGAACCAATAATTAAGAATCTAAATACACGGTTAGATTCGGCATATCAAAGAACCCCAATAATTCAATTTTTGATGAAATCAAACAAAGTTAAATTTTGGACCCTTTGGACCTCAATGTGGACCAATTTAAAAATGGGGCCCAAAATCCAAAAACTTAATACACGGTTAGATTCAGCATATTAAAGAACCCCAAAAATTCAAGAATAAAACCCCATTGAAATTGATCAAGAAATAAGCAATTTATACGAAGTATCTTCTTTTGCACAATACTGTGCAATTGAATATTTCTTGCTATTGTGCAATACTGTACAATTGACAATTTCTTGCTACTGCGCAATATTGTGCTATTGGATATTTCTTGTTATTGTACCTCACTATATTTTTTCTATATAAAAAATAATGAAATAATTGTGCTATTTCATTCCACAGACTATTTGCCAGTCAATAGTTTCAAAGACTATTACCCCGGTTAATAGTTTTATAATCATATTTCCCGTACTTTTTCATGCTTATTTTTCATTGGACAATAATGACGTCATTAACCATTCTGCTGGGATTTTGTGTGCTTGGCAACGTCAAACTCTAATATCGTAAACGGTATAATACATGTGTCGATCGTAATTTCACTTACAAGACGCAATTATAAAAGAGAGAAAATCTTTGCGACACATTTTTTAAAGATCTAAAATATAGTACTTAATTTATAAGATGGGTTTGTCGTCGTCTTCTAGACCTGTATTTGCGTTTGGTGTACTTTAACTTGAATTTATTTTATGCACGGAAAGTTTAACACAAGTATTTCTAGTCTTGATTGCAATTAATGAAATATTTACAAATACAACACAGACTATAAAAAACAAACGTATCGTTCATCTTGTGCATGTCAAGTTATGTGACATTTTTCTTTTCTTTCAGATGATATAAGTACACTTTTAGAAAGTTAGTTAGCTTGGTATAATAAACACTTAATGATTGTGTTGTTCAGTATAATAAAACACCTAATGACTGGTTGTGCGGGTAATAGCAAGTTTGTTGTCCCTTGGCATACCAACTATTGCCCTCGGCTTTGCCTCGTGCAATAGTTGGTATCTCAGGGACAACAAACTTGCTATTACCCTCACACCCAGTCAATAGGTGTATACTATTGCGCAATACTGTGCAATTGAAGATTTCTTGCTATTGCGCAATACTGTGCAATTGAAGATTTCTTGCAATTGTGCAATACTGTGCAATTGAAAATTTCTTGCTATTGCACAATACTTATTATATAATAATTTACACATCCTGTTTGGTGTGTATCTCCTACCATATCATTATTATTTGCTTTTAAATATTAATCAGAAATAACCAACTTAAAATGGAAAATTTTAAAAGAAAAAAACAAGGAAAAAAAGAAAAAAAAAGAAAAAAAAAAATCCCCCCCCCAAATTTTTTGAACCCCCTTATGATTCATCACCCCCAAACTCAATCCCAGCCTTCCCTTTATGGTATGGTACCTTGCAGTACAATTTCAGAGAGATCCATACACTTGAACACAAGTTATTGTCTGGAAACTAGAAAAATGCTTATTTTTGGCCCCTTTTTGGCCCCCAATTCCTAAACGTTTCGGGCAATTACCCACAAACTAAATTCCAGCTTTCCCTTTGTGATATGGAACCTTGAAGTACAATTTCAGGAATATCCAAACACTTACACACAAGTTATTGTCATGAAACTAGAAAAATGCTTGTTTTTTGCCCCTTTTTTGGCCCCTAATTCCTAAAATTTTGAGGCAATTACCCCCAAAATCAATTACAGCCTTCCCTTTGTGATATGGAACCTTGTGGTACAATGTCAGAGAGATCCATACACTTACACACAAGTTATTGTCTGGAAGTTACAAAAATGCTTATTTTTGGCCCCTTTTTGGCCCCTAATTCCTTAACTGTTGGTACCATAACCCCCAAAATCAATCCCAACCTTCCTTTCGTGGTATTGAACCTTATGGTAAAATTTCATGGAGATCCATTCACTTAAACTAAAGTTAGAGTGCGAAAACCAATGTGTCTTCGGACGACGCCGGACGACGCCAGACGACGACGACGACGACGCCAACGTCATACCAATATACGACCAAAAAATTTTCAATTTTTGCGGTCGTATAAAAATGTTTTTCTGTTACAAATCATGATGTATTGTTTTATGTGTACATGTTATGTTGCCCGTCAAGGGCCCTTGATTGGAATAATAAATATTCTTATTCTTATTAGAGGTGTACTATAGGATCATTGCTTGAATATTGGTGAATATTGTCCAGAGGAGCAATATTTATTCTAGAGGGCTAAATGATTCATCAATGTTGATGCAATAAACCATTGATTGTAAATCTGCTTAAAACATATTTCTGACACTGATGACATCACTTATTTGAAACTTTATTTGCATTATTGCAATATGATTTATTATTGCACCCTAAATTTAAGTTACGTTCAATATGACATAATTATGTTGTTGCTATACATTAAGTAACTTCCGGCAGAAGTATCTGTGTTTCTTCAGAAGCAATCTACAGCATTGACATTCCAAACTGTTTTTATAGTATTTATGATGTTTTCCAGATAATTTAAATGCATAACCAATACTTAATATCTCTCTGCATGTATTTTCTGTAATAGTTTTGTTACCAGAAATAACTTTCTGTATAAAATCATTTATATAGAGAATCTATCAGAAAGTTATTATGTTAGAATACTATATCTGATTGGGATGACAGAAACTGAGCATTTTATTTTTATCCAAGAAAATTCTAATGTAGAACAACTTTCAGGATTAGTAGAAATGAAGTGCATTGATAAATCTAAAAAGTTTTAAAAGTTTTTAATAACAATTTTAAATAGATGCCATTTTTATTAATGCAAGTTCAGATCTACAATATAAATTCCTCATTTTTGTTTTTATCCAAAAAAATTCTAATGTAGAACAACTTTCAGGATTAGTAGAAATGAAGTGCATTGATAAATCTAAAAATTTTAAAACCTTTTATCAACAATTTTAAATAGATGCCATTTTTATTAATGCAAGTTCAGATCTACAATATAAATTCCTCATTTTTGTTTTTATCCAAAAAAATTCTAATGTAGAACAACTTTCAGGATTAGTAGAAATGAAGTGCATTGATAAATCTAAAAAGTTTTAAAAGTTTTTAATAACAATTTTAAATAGATGCCATTTTTATTAATGCAAGTTCAGATCTACAATATAAATTCCTCATTTTTGTTTTTATCCAAAAAAATTCTAATGTAGAACAACTTTCAGGATTAGTAGAAATGAAGTGCATTGATAAATCTAAAAATTTTAAAACCTTTTATCAACAATTTTAAATAGATGCCATTTTTATTAATGCAAGTTCAGATCTACAATATAAATTCCTCATTTTTGTTTTTATCCAAAAAAATTCTAATGTAGAACAACTTTCAGGATTAGTAGAAATGAAGTGCATTGATAAATCTAAAAAGTTTTAAAAGTTTTTATCAACAATTTTAAATAGATGCCATTTTTATTAATGCAAGTTCAGATCTACAATATAAATTCCTTATTTTTGTTCTCAAAGTCCCCATTTTTTATTGAAAACATACTTAGAACTGATGAGGTCTATCTCACAGTCTACTTGTATAAAAAAGGAAGATGTTGTATGATTGCCAATGAGACAACTCTCCAGGCAGAGACCAAATGATGTAGAAGCTAGCAACTATATAATGGTAACTGTACGGCCTTCATCAATGAGCATACACTTCATATTGTATGTAGTTCATAAAGAAAATTAAAATTTCACAATATGAAGGCAGCATTTTTTCTCTGCTGCTTCTACAACATTATCTACAGAATCGGAACTTCCTGTAATTATAATCAAATGGTAATATGTTTCATCCATTAATTTTACACAACATTTTTATTATGGTAATTATCATTTCCTGTTTAGATTAACCTGTCTCACACCTTATAATTATTGTCCTTATTTTTATATTTCTTAAGGGTGTAACAAGAAACAAGTCTTTTTTTAATACACATCACTTACCCTGGGGGTGGGGCCATTTATTTACAAAGATTACCTCATAATGGATAGCTATAATAACCCCCTGGGTATAAGATGTTGAGACGAAAACCAATATTTACTGAAATTTCGTAACCCCTACTTTATGTTCATTGATGGACAATGATTTGAACACAATGAATAGTTTTTATATTGACTACTGAACACCACCTTTATAGCTTGTAACACTGATCCCTGGTCAGCGGAATAGCATTTTGACATGTCCGCAGGTTGTCTCTCTGATGGTCTATCTTTTATATTTTCCCTGATTTTGACACAACAGAATTTATTGTCCATTGAGATGACTAACCCACTGTGGTATTTGACACAGAAATTTGAACAATAACATCAACATTTTCTTCCAATTTATGAAAATGACTTCATTGTTCACTAAGTATGGAAAGTAATATCTTTCGTTAATTTATGAAAATTGGTCCATTGTTGGTCTTAAGGACTCAGAAGATATTGTAGTTCACCCGTCTACCTATTGTGCAGGTATTATACAGGTGTAATAATTAGAAAATGAAACAATGCTGCCTATCTTATGGGTAAAAACCTAGCATAATACATGTGTTATCTGAAGGTTATTGTAATTATTTTGTCATTATTCTATACCAGACACAGAATATTGCAGTTTTGTCCACATTGCAATGTATTTCTTTCATAAATACTGCGAAAATAATAATCACAATTTCTCATTTAAAATTTGTGTTGACACAGATTTTTTTGGGTTCTTTTTGTAACTACTAGAAAAAACCCATACACCCAAAGAATTTTCTTTCACAAACTTGATTGAGCTCAACAAAATGTGGTGGATAGTTGACTAGATCTGATCGAGTCCTGAAAATTTGTAATTTTTTACAACAAAAATTAAATTTGCAGCAGCAACACAGATGAATGTGTTGATGTTCTAAGTTATAGATTGAAATAAACAATTAATTTCCCCATAGGCGACAATGATAGCCTTTTTCGAGATACAGACTTCAGAAAGTTGATTTTTTTAACGAAACCTTGCTAGAATTAAAGAAAAGTTATTAGGACAGTATTTTTTGGTCCAAAAAATATAGGTTCGCGTTGCTTTTCTTAGCGTAATTTGTACTTATCTCCCATGCCTATCAATTTTGCACTTAAAAATACGTGTCTCATCTTAGCGTTTAAAAGACATCTCAGTTCCGTTAGGGCTAATGAAAATAATTTATTTGGCCTTTGGTATAATGCAGAATGCACGAAGTCTCTAATAACAAAAAATAACGGGCGCACATATCAACCAATCAGGATTAGCTATA